TCATGTTTAAATTTATTTTTAGGTATTTATAATATCTTTTGTCATAGTTAAGACTTATTTTTGCTGATCCCATCTGCTTATTGGTATAGAGGAAAAAAGCATCATTTTTATAACATCTATCTAGTACTGATTCAAAACTACGAATTCTGGTAGCCTCTTAGTATAGTTTATTAGGTTATCTTTTGTGTGTATGTGATGCTGGAGATTGAACCTATGGTCTATGCAGGCTAGGCAAGAACTCTATCACTGAGCTATATCTCCAGCTTCTAGGTTTTCAAACTATATAATCATATCAGATATAGATAATATTCTTTCTTTATCTGATATTTGATAATATTATTTATTCTTTTTTTCATGGTATTAGCTGTCCAGTACAGTAGCCACTAAGGCTACTGTTAAAATTTAAACTAAACAAAATTTAAAATTCAGGGCTGAGCATGGAACTCAATAGTAGAGCACTTGCCTAAGCATATACAAGACCCTAGGTTCAATCCTGAGCACCACAAAAAAACTTTTTTTAAATTCAGTGTCTCAGTCACCTAGGTACTTTTCAAGTGCTCAGTAGCCACATAAGGCCAATGGCTACTGTATTGGATGGTGCTATATATGAAACATGACCATCATTGCAGAGAGTTGTATGGAAAATGCAGAGAAAGAGTATACAAAATAATATTGGATAATAGATATGGTAGAAAACATCCCTCTTTTGTTTCCCATGTTAATGAAATTGATTTAAACCTTCTACCATTTAGTATGAAGTTTTCTGGAAATGTTTGGAAGATGGTATTGTCAACTTTTTGGGTTTTTTTTGGGGGGGGTACTATAGTTGAACCCAGGGGTACTCTGCAACTAAACTACATCTCCAGCCCTTTTATTTATTTATTCATATTTATTTTTTTCTTTAGTACCAGGGTTTGAATCCCAGGGAACTTAACCACTGAGCCACATCCCCAGTCCTTTTTAAATTTTTTAATTTTAAGACAGGGTCTTGCCAAGTTTCCCAGGTTGATGTCAAATTAATCATCTTCCTGCTTCATCCTCCCAAGTAGCTGGGATTTACAGGTATGCACCACTGCACCTGGTGGCATTGTCAAGTTTAAATGGTTTCCTTCTGTTGCTATTTTATCTCCAGTTTTTATCATGCATACAATGGCTATTGAGTTTTATACTATATACTTTTTGTATTAATTATATTTTATATTGATTTATACTTTTTATACTAATTATAATTATATTTACATTAATTTATATTTTCATGTTAATTGATAGCATTGTGTGACATTTCTAAAGTATTTGTATAAGAAATTATTATATAAGAAATTATGTTGATTGACTTACACATATTAAAACATACTAGCATTCCTGGAATCTTCTTAATATTTATGGTATATTATTCTCTTGAGGTGCATCTGTATTTTATTTGCTGCTATTCTATTTAGAATTTTTTCATCCATATTGTGAATGAGAAGAATCTTAAAATATGTGATATGTTTGGATCAGTCCAATGTGTCTTTGGGATTCATCTAAAGTGGCAATCCCTTTCTCCACTGAAATATCTTAACTGGGCCTCTCCAGGAATCTTCACCCAGACTGATTTTAGGACTGTCATCAAAAGAGTCTCTGCAAAAGAGTTCAATGTAGACAAATTTCCTATTTTCTTGTCATCCTGTTGACTTGGCCACTGGCCGAAAAGATACCAGTATGGTTCCCTCTCCACCACATGAATCTAATGACTTGAAAGACAAAGTAGCTGGTAAAGAAAAAGTTTATAGGCAACAAACCTGCAGGTGGAAGATGGGGGATGGTCACTCAAATTTCATCTTGCTGGGGGTTACAGGTGCAAAAACTTATATGTGGTTTCTGGATAGTGTAGTTTTTGCCATAGCTAGGTAGCACCAGAATGGTTATTAATTTTTGGAGATATCAGTTCCCTTGATATGGTTTGGTTGTTATCCACAGATCACCAGAAATGCCTAGAAGCCTAAAGAAAGATTAACTCAGGAGGTTGTATGACTGGTGGTGTCTATTTTTTTTTTTTTTCAAAGTTGGACTTATCAGTTAATTATGTGGGGAGTGAGGCATAGAGAAGTAAGGCAAATCAGAAACAATGAAACACAGATTTGCTAGTGCTCAGAGCAAGTTAACCCACTCACTGGCTTCAATATTAGTGAAAGATTATCTCCATCTTCTTTTTATAGCAGTATATTTTAGTGTCTTTTATAAAATGAATTTGGATCTTTATCTACAGACTGTAAGAGTTTATATAGTGTAGACTCATTTAGTACTGATTAGTTTAGTAAAGTGTTCCTTAATTTACAACCGGTTAAGATATTTTGGTAATATATTAATTTTTCTGATTTTGTTGAATTTTAAAGCATGTCAACTAACAAAACCCTCTCCTCATTTTTTGAATTATTGGGGAGTTTTAGGAAGCTTTTTTCATTGCTGAGACCAAAAGACCTAGCAAAAACAATGTAGAGGAGAGGAAGTTTGTTTGTGGCTCAAGATTTTAGAGCTCTCAGTCATAGGTGGCCAACTCCATTGCTCTGTATCTACATGAAGCAGAACATCATGACAGAAGAGTATGGTGGAAGAAAGCAGCTCAGGAAATGGCAATCAGGAAACAGAGCTCTACTCCCCAGGGACAAAATATAACCCCAAAGTCATGTACCCAATGTCCTACCTCCTCTAGCTACACCCTACCTGCCTATAGTTATCACCCAGTTAACCTCTCAGTGATTAATGCACTGATTAGATTAAGGCTCTTATAACCCAACCATTTCACTTCTAAACTTTCTTGCATTGTCTCCCACATGAGCTTTTGGGGGATATGTGCTTTTATGTCATATATATATATAAACAAGCTCCTCCTATCAGTGGAGGGAATTGAACCCAGGGGTGCTCTACCACTGAGGTGAATCCCCAGCCCTATTTATTTTTTTAAGACAGGGTCTCCTTAATTTCCCTAGGCTGGCCTTGAATTTACAATCCTCTTGCCTCAGCCTTCTGAATAGCTACCATCTACAAAACTACTTTTTTAAATGTATCAATTATTTTTCTAAAGGAAAATTAGACAATTGAATGCTTTTTTAATGCTGGAAGGGCATAAGAATAGAAATTACATAATTGGCTTATGAGTTACAAAAAATTTTATATCTGTTATCAGTAGCTTATTGATTATAATTTTAATGTTTTTTTGTATCAGGATTGAACGTAGGGGCACTTTACCACTGTGCACAGGCCCCAAGCCATGACTCCTATTGGTCCACCCAAAAAAGATTCCCAAAGACTTGTAATTCCTCGATGATCCCAGGCTTGCAATTGATCATTCATCACCTTAGTGCCCTAATCAATAAACTCATGGACTGAATCAATGACTTTAGATACTTAGATCTCTAATTCTTATTAAATCTCAAAAATTTCTACAGAGGTCCCAATCACTTAACCATATATGTCTCCAATTGTTCCCTTCTAGGATTCTTCCCACTTGTCACTTACTACCCCCAAATGAATGGCAGATATAGGCCCTGGATTATCCAATTCTGTTGGATCCTAACTCATTGATCCCCCTCTACAGAAATCCCCCAATCTTTGACTCCCAGAAGAACCCAAACAACCAACCCCAAATTTGGATTGGTGTTGAACTTTAATGATAAAAACTTAAAACACTTTCAGGCAGAAACAACATGTTATATGCAACAAAAGGGGATTACAGAGCTACTCAACTTTGTATTGGCAACACTAGAAGTCATTTTAGAAGAAAACATCTACAGATTATTGAGAACTGAGATCCAAGAATTTGAAACTCACTCTGGTTAGATATCATTCTTCTGTCAGAGCATAAGAAACACAACTTTAGACATAAAAGCATTTACTATATAATATCCTTATTTTTCCTAACTCAGAATGCTCAAGAGAATAGTCTAATTATAAACAGAATAGTAACAGAATCTTCAAAATAGAAGGAAAGTAGTTTTGGAAAATGACTTGCAACTGACATATACTTATATCTGAATAAAGATGATGTCATAGAGTATTTATTTGTTTTTGCAGTGCTGAGGATTGAAGCCAGGGCTTGTGCATACTCAGCAAGTACTTTACTACTGAACTCTTGGGCTTAAGCAAGCCTCCTGCCTCAGTCTCCCAGGTAGCTGGAATACAGGTAAGTACCACCAGGCCTGGCTTGAGGGCTTTTGATATTGGTCTGGGGTATGGCCAAGGCAACTTTTTAAAATACTGATATGATACTGGCACAGGATCTGACTTCCTGAACAAGACTCCTAAAGCACAAGAAATAAAATAAAAAATAAATAAATGGGATAGCATCAAACTAAAAATTCTTCATAGCAAAAGAAACAATTAAGAGCATGAAGAAAGCCTATAGAATGGGAGAAAATCTTTGCCACCTGAACCTTAGATAGGGCATTAATTTCCAGAATATATAAAGAACTCAAAACACCACTGATAAAGTGGCACTTTACCACTGAAGTACATCCCCACCCCTTTTCATTTTTAGTTTAAAACAGGGTCAGTTTTCATCTTGTTTATCTTTAATTGTTTTATTAACATGATCTAACATTCTGAAAAAGGTATATTCTTGCAGTATAAATTAAGATGATAAGATTTTATTACATTTTCATGAATTTTTGCTGATGATTGCATAAAGGTTTATGTGTATTACATCTAATTCATCTAACGTGTACTTTATTACTATGCAATATGTATTTTTATCTGTTGGGTGCTTTTAGCCTTGGATTTCAGCTTGAACATTATATTACCAGACCTGCTTTTATTTTTCATGCATTTGCCTGATTACTTTTGCCTCTTTATTTTCAATATATTTCTAGTAAATGACACATAACTTTAATTTTTTTACTTATTTAAAGCTTTATTCTTGCCTGCTCGCTGTGCGGCCGCTGGGCACGGATTGGCCAGTATAGTGTACCTCAGTGCCTCATTGTCCCCCAGAATCTCCGGACAAGACTCAAGCCACAGGAAGCATGAAGATCTGGACCTTGGAGCACGTCTTCGACCACCTATGGGAAAATGTTACAACAGCTGCAATGCATAAATACCCAAACCCTATGAACCCGAGTGTGGTTGGAGTTGATGTGCTTGACAGGCATGTAGATCCCTCTGGAAGGCTGCACAGCCACAGACTTCTTAGCACAGAGTGGGGACTGCCTTCCATTGTGAAGTCTCTTATTGGTTCAGCAAGAACCAAAACATATGTGCAAAAACATTCTGTAGTTGATCCTGTAGAGAAAACAATGGAGCTTAAATCGACTAATATTTCCTTTACAAATATGGTTTCAGGGGATGAGAGACTTATCTACAAACCACACCCTCAAGACCCAGAAAAGACTATTTTGACTCAGGAAGCCATCATCTCTGTGCAGGGAGTCAGCCTTAGCAGTTACCTGGAAGGACTGATGGCTACCATGATATCTTCTAATGCTAGTAAAGGCCGAGAAGCAATGGAATGGGTAATACATAAATTAAATGCTGAGATTGAAGAGTTGACAGCTTCAGCAAGAGGAAGCATAAGGACACCAATGGTGGCAGCAGCATTTGTAGAAAAATGATAAAGTCAGTATAGAATATCAAATCCCCAGGTCTCTCCAAGCAGACAGTGTATTTATTTGTTACTTAAAAAGTAAAACTGTATTTTAGGTAGAATTTTTTTTTCTAATAACCTGGAGTAAGGCTATGTGACTTTTGATCAAAACAAAAAGATACAGGGCTTCTAAAATCCAAGGGATCATCTGAGGTTATTATGGCTTGAAATGACTAATTTATAGGGTTTTAGTATTTATGTGAAATTTAACAAAATTTTTTTAAAGTACTCGGGAGAAATGGGTATTGACGTTGAGTCTTCTTAAAATAGAATTTTAACACTTTTCAGGCATTGGAACTGTACCTGACTTTGGACCAACCCCAGAGCCAAGCAAGCAGAGCCTCTCCTCATACATACACACTCACCTTGCTAATACAGACTAGCACAGCCTGCAAGGGGGAACTGACTCTAAAATGAGAATTTGTATAGTTTTAAAAGACATTAAATTGTATAAAATAACTTGCTCTGCTAAAAACCACAGTGTTTTGATTTGGTATTTAAATGATATTTTTAGAGTAAAAATCATCACTAAGTCTATATGACTTCAACATAAACAATATTTTATTGTATTATAGAGTACTGTGCTGATTTGCCAAAGTTTTGTAACTTAGTAAAGGTATTACCTTCCTTGGACTTGTACTTTATGATTTAGCATGCTGTACCGTGGGCTGGTTATGTTAACTAAAAAAATAAAGTCATTACCTGAGTTTCGCAGCACTCTTAAATAGAACACTTATACAGAACAGCTGTTCACATCTTTTATCATTTCACATTTGCCTAACTTATAAATTGCCATGTGTCAAAATCATGGTTTTGTAATTGCTAAGGCTTGATATGTCAGGTTATTTGAATATAATTACTTTTTGAGGTAATTGTGACCACAAAACATCTTTTTTACATGAAGAGCTATACATCATTTGAAATTACTCAAATGATGTCTTGATGTGAAGCATAAATCCCAGGAACTTAATGTTTTTAATAATATGGTGCCACTGTGGGGGCATTTAGGGAGAAAAAAGAATAATGGAAGGTGGGGACAGAGTGGCCCAAACTAACCACTGAGCCAATTGCACTGCAGGTTTTATTAATGGGATGTCCTTATTTTTGATGCCAGAGGGTGGCTGAAAAGTGAAAAACAATCCAATAAATGTATTTTGTTTAATATTTTGTAGCAGGAAGTTTTAATCACTAAATGATATCTTTGATACTTGCAATTGTTGCATACAAAATATTTTTGTTAAAAGGTGATGAGCTCTTGCCTTTATTTTACAGTGCTTAATGAGATCATCTTCTATAAAAGGACAGTTAATATGTGTACGTAAAACGACAGAAAGATACCAAACTTTTTAAAATTATGTTTTTCTATTGAAAATACTGTTTAGCTAAAGAATTCTTAGGATATTTGTAAAAGCAAGTTAAATCTGATAAGGTTTCTGATTATGTTTTTTGGCAACTGGAGATGGTTTTTACAACTGAAATAATATTTCAGCTAAAGAAAACATTGCTAAATATTAATGCTTCACAAAAAGTGACTTGTATAATCTGTTATACTTTTTCTGAAAAAAAGTTGTAATATCCTAATTAAAAACAATTTTTTAAATCTTTTTTTTTTTAAAAAAAGCTTTATTCTTTCATTAGCAACCTTGGAAAGAGAAATTCATATCAGGACTCAGAGCAAGAAAGAGACCCCAAAACATCTAGGTTTTCCTTAATTCCTTTGGCTGTAGAAGTTATAGAAGAATTTAAACCAAGCCAGACCCATTCCATCTCTGGTCACAACCTCATCTCTATATCCTGGTCCTGGTCACTTTGGCTGGAAATTGGCTTCACTTCACCCAAAGACCTAGTTCAAGGGCATTCTTAGCTTCCTCGAGTTTGAGCATTCTCTCCTGCTACTGGTGGTGCCACTCAGCCATGGACTGAAGCATCAACTTGGTATGGAGCTTAAACAAGTAGGAGCCATAAACCATGACCTTGGTGAGATCTGAAGATTCCAGAGCCTTCAGTTTCAAGCATGGCCTTGCTTATGCTCAATGTAAGGGATGTGAGATCTGTGTGGGCTGAACAGGGCTTCCAGTAGTCACATCTGGACTCTAACACCTCTGGGTCTTTCAGGTCTTTGGGAACTTTCACCCATGGTGGGATATCTCTACCATCTAGGAGCTTATCCATCTTGAGTCCCTGGAAACCAGCTAATCTCCAGTGGAGGAGAGTCCTACTGTCATAGGAAAGCAGGGAGCTGAAACTCCAAACCTCAGTTCTTGTGTTCCGATGAAAGAAAATTTAAAGTCAGACACAAAAAGCCATGCAAAATAATTTTATTATAAGTGAAAGTGAGGTAAAAGTAAAGTAAAAGCAAACTGAGTCTTAAGCAGAGAGCACTCTCAAAAGAGAGAATGGGCCAAATCTGAGCAGAGAATGACAAAGGAGATAATGCTATCTCCAAATTTGTTACTGTTTAATGTTTGCCAGGAGAACTGGGGACCATCTTCTGTACTCTTTGCCAATCAGGTGTTCAACTCCTCCTTCACATTGGGTGGTGGAGTTTTTGACCTTAGTTGGTTGTCTCCGGAATGATCATAGTGGCCATCCTATTTAGTGGGGCTTCATTTACAAATCAATCTCATGTTAATGTGGGCATTGGGGTCAATAGCTTGTCAGAAGTTACCTTAGTGTGCTGCGCTGCTAAAGGAATCTTCCTTCCTAGACAAATGGAGACACCTATAGTCTGTGGGGAGCCATTCTCACACGTGACTGGGCAACTCCCGGTTTGGGTCTGAGGCGCTCTGGCTAAACTGTGTCGGAGCTTTCCCGGCCCTCTCCTGGTGCAAGAGCCTGTCCGTGTGGGGGTGTGACTGACCACTGACCCCGGGGGCCAATCACTGACCCTGACCTTAGAGTGCAGCCCCCCTCAAACTTCATTGGATGGAATTCTCCCCTGAATTTCTTGTTCCCCAATAAAAGGCTACTCCCTGGTGTGCTCCCTCTCTCTCTCTCCTGCTAGCCCTGAGTAATCCTTGCTGCCCTACCGGGTGGTTCGAGGTAGGAACCAGAGGGGGAGCTGTCTCGGACCTGGTCATAGAAAAAGGTAACTGAGTCTGTGTGTTTTATTTCGATCTCACTAGCTAACTTTTATGCCAAGAACCTCTTTAATGAAACCAGTGCGTTGGTCGCATGGTGGAATTTGGCGCCCAACGTGGGGCATTCTAGATTAGCTAGATTGAGTGGGAGCGCACTATAAAGATAAAGATAAAGGAAGTGGTGACAATTTAGAGTCACAAAAGTACCTGGAGATATTGAAGGAAAGAGACGTTAAATTAATTAAAATGGGAAATTCAACTTCTACGGATAAGGAAATGTATCTGACTATTTTAGACAGTATAATTAATCAGAAAGGAAAACAGATAAAGAAAACTCAGTTATTACAATTCTTAAAGATTGTAGGCGAATATTGTCCTTGGTTTTGTGAACAAGAGTCTCCAAATTTACTTACTTGGGAGAAACTAAGAAGGAAGTTACAAAAAGTTTGTCTTTCTAATGAATTACCTGGAGGCATAGAGAATATTCAGAAAACTTGGACCGGCTCTGGAAGTTTGTCTTTTTGAATATATGGGCCAGAGTTCGTGGCCCCCTGAAGATCTATTAAAAGGCATTCAGAGAGCTATTAGGTCTATTCAAATGGAAAATCCGCCTGAGGCTAAGTTAATTCCCTTTCCCTTGAGCCGTTTAAAAACAAAGGCTCTAGGGGCTAAACCGAAGGTTAAGAATGTGACTTTAAACTTGCAGGATCAGGCTAGCCCGCAGGAGATTATAGAGAGGAACATCATAGAGGAGAAACCTCCGCAGTCCTAGAAAGTCCTCCAGAAGAGGTAGAGGATCTTCCTGGGGAGGAAAATCTGGAAGAGATTCTTAGAGGGGCACAGAGTTCTTCTCCGCCACGTGGCTTAGAAGCCCAATTTCAAAATGGCGACAGTGCAGAGTCTACCCACGACTCGCAGTCCGAGGAAGAAGAATCAGACGTTGAAATTCAGGACTTACAGAGAAATTTTAACAGGCTGCGTTTAACACTGACTGCCCAGGCTATTCGAATTCGGCCATTACCTGCTAAAAGGACAAAATTTAACAGGTACTCTGAATTAACAATGACTTTTCTTACTCCGTTCCAGCGAGGTATTAAGAAAGCACAGGAAGCTGGGGAAAATACTGGCGGTTTTCAACTTTTTCCAGTTTTTGAGCAAGTTAATGAGCAAGATCAGAGAGTTAGAGTTCATGCTGTAATCCCATTTAAAACCATTAAGGAACTAAAAAGTGCATGTGAGACGTATGGTCCGAATTCGCCTTTTGTACAGAGCCTGATAGAAAATATTTGCTTGCAGCCCCTTCCTCCTAGTGATTGGATTTCTTTAGCTAGATCTTGCTTGAGTGGAGGAAATTTCTTACTTTGGCGTACTTATTGGACTGATTTTTGTACTGAACAGGCAGAAAGAAATAGAAGACAAAATTTAGAGACGCCAATAGAAATGTTTTTAGGAACAGGTGAATTTGCTGATTTAGAAAGACAGTTAAATTATGAATTGGTAGTATACAATCAAATAACTGTGCGAAACGTGCCTGGAAACAGATTATCTCTAAAGACCAATCCAATTTAGTTCTTACCAAAATCAGGTAGGGTGCAAGTGAACTGTACTCAGATTTCGTAGCCCGATTGTACCAGGCCGCAAACAGGTCAATCGGGGACCCGGGGGCGTGTGAGTTTATTGTTAAGCAACTGGCATTTGAAAATGCGAATAAATATTGTCAGGGCGTTCTTAGGCCGCACCGTAAAAAAGGGACGGTTTCTAAGTTTATCTGCTTATGTTCTGAGATAGACTCTACTCATTTACAGACTGTAGCCCTAGCTGCGGCACTAAAAGAAACGTTAAGGCCGCAAGATTTAGTACGAAAGCCCCGCGGGAGATGCTATGTTTG